AGGAGCTGGATGCAGCTCGAAACCGGCTGATTGATGAACTAAATAAGCCAGCTAGGGGAAAAAGGTACAAATTAACTATTTGAATAGTATTTATATTGGTACAAACCATGAAAGTTAAATTTTAATATGGAAGCTATAAATTTGCGTCAACCTTGCTGTTTCTATATTTCTTGTTGGTTTATACTATTATAATCTGTATACAGGTAAACTTTGCTTAGTTAATCTTTGTTATCCTAATGCAGAACCAGAGATGGGGTGCTTCCCCCTTTATCAGTCCGAGCGACTCTTGCTGCATGGCCTTTAAGTAGAGTTGATGATCCCAGTAACAATGGCTCAACATTACACAGTACTGATACTGTCCAGGCAAACAACCAAGGTCAGTCCTTATGTTCTAGATTAGAATACATAAATGCGTCTGTGAGCAAAGGTATATACATATGATGTAACTGATCTCAATCCTAGCAGTCTTGACTCTGATCTTATCTGTTTTTTATGCACGTGTTTTACATCAGGTACTGGCCACAACATTCCTGGCACCAGTAACAACTTAACTGAAGACTCTTCGCGCATGGGTGCACAAACTTCTACTTCCAATTCAATGCCCCACACGGTTTCAAACGTGGAGCAAACAAATGTTAACATGCGGTGCCAGCAGGGTGCCAGTGTTACAACTGGATATACTACACACATGGGTGCACAGAATGCTACTTCCAATTCAATACCCCACATGGTTTCAAACGTTGAGCGAATGAATATTGATACGCCTGGCCAGCGGGGTGCCAGAATAGCAACTGAACACGCTTCACCTATGGATGCAGAAAATGCTACTTCTAATTCAATACCTCATGTGGTTTCAAATGTGCAGCCAAATGTGGAGCCAATGAATATTGATACGCCGGGCCAGCGGGGTGCCAGAATAGCAACTGAACATGCTTCACCTATGGATGCACACAATGCTACTTCTAATTCAATACCTCACATGGTTTCAAATGTGCAGCCAATGAATATTGATATGCAGCGGGGTACCAATCCTGTGTACCATCATAATTCAATGGCTAACCGGAATTCTTCAATAGCTGAGGAGATGCATACAGATACTGCTAATACTTTCAGGGAAAACCCTGTTGGCAACCAATCTTCTCACAGAAACTCGAATGTTGCAGCGGTACATGAAGACACTGTTCACATAGCAAGTTCCATGACTTCTGAGCGCTTTCCTGTTTCTGAAATTGTGGATACAGACAGGAACAGGGTTCCTGTAGTCACAGATAATACTCCTCTAAATGGATCTTCGTCCACTGATTTTAACTATGAAGATATCTTGATGGATGATGTCAGTGACAATCCACTCATACTTTCTGGAGACCCTGAAGTTCCTTTCACATACTTAGCTAGTTTGTCAGCCAAGTGGGCTGCAATGAAGGAGGCGGATTCTCTGGTTCAGGGTAAAATTAAGGTAAGGAGTTTAAACTGTCCAATGTTCTTTCTTTGGGTAGTAATTTTTAGCTCTCATGCATATGTTAGTATCAGTATTCAAATTGCTTTTATTGACTCGTTAGCCAATATGAGTTGTTAGAATAGGCTACCTACAACATGTTTTATAATGACGATGTTAAAAGTTCAAACACGTTTTACCACGATGTTGTCAAAAGTTTTTTGAGCTGAATCCACTTGTTGTGTTCTCTCCTCTACATATAAAGCTTCATATTGTGAATGTTGAGAGTATCAGGCATTATTTGCTATTCTATGGTGATATTGATTCGTGGATGGAATTTTATTTTGTAGCATATCGTAGTTGATGCATCTTAGTTTCTGTAATCTCTATTTTTCAATATTATAAATGCATTATGTTTTTGTAGTGCTTTCTAACCGGTGTTAAAGGATTCCAATATAAGAAAAGGACAACCTACGAGCTTCAGGCATATGTAGACGATGGTAGTCTTATTTCTGAAATCCTCATTGATCATGATGTGAGTTTGTTCTAAAACATAAGCTTTTAATGTGGGAGCTTTATCTTCCTGCCATACCAAGCTGATCAGTGATAAAATATTTTAGGTTGTACAGAAAGGAATTGGTTATTCTCCCGTGGAGGTCACTGCAGCTCTTTCTTCTTCTGACACAAATATAGTCCAGAACATGAAGGAGACTATGCGCAAATTCCAAGCTTTCTTAGCAAACTTTGAGGTAATACAAATCCTTATTTCTATATGGAAGATTCCTGCAACTTGTATGCAAATTATTAGTTGTTTCTTCATCTGTTAATTCACATTTTTCTTTTTATCTCTAGGGAGTAATGCTTGTGGAATTAAATAGAAAACATTCCCTTCCACTGGCTCTAGAAATGAGTCAAGGCTGTCCTAAATCTGATGCGTGGTCCCTTCTAAGAAGGCTTAAGTCTCTTCCCCCTGCACAAGCTCTAAACCATTTTCCTTCAGACACAATCGTTTTATCCCCATAATTTTCTGAATGGCTAACGTTTCCTAATTAGGATGAAACAGAGTTGGGCTCAAAATTGTTACATGCAACACAATGTGAGTAGCAAGATGCCACTGCTTCCCGTGCATATTAGAAATGTGGGTGTATGAGATAGCGCGGTTCTACCATTTGGCCTGAGGTGAAAGTTCAATGTTGACCTATCTGGCCTGAGGTGAAGGTTCAATTTCATCAAAACAAGGTATGATATTCCCTTTGATATCAGGTTGCCCAGTATATCGTTTTGCCGTTTGGGGATGGTGCATTTAGTGAATGCATGTATCATGTTTCCGTTGACGGTAATGCACTTATGAATGCATGTATCATGTTTCCGTTGATGGTGATGCACTTAGTGAATGCATGTAACAAATGATTTAGTAATTTAATTTAAAATGTAAATTTTTACAAGTGATTTTAGCTTTGCTTCTTTTGAGCTCATTAGTTTTTCAGAGTTTGGTTACATATTTTCCAATTTTTAAAAAATCTGATTTGAGGAGATCCAATCAATGAGATTTCCAGGTCATAAATAAAAAATAATGTGAATGGTACTTATTTTAGCACTTTTCTTTTATACATTATTGTTGAGTAAAATTCATATAGATCTCAGTCTCACCATATTGAAAATTGACCCCACATACAATGGTGGAGACTCACAATTTTTAATCCATTGTTAGAAAGTAAGTGTTGGTAGCACTTAAATAAAAAGCGTATTAAAATAAAAAAAATGTAAAATAAAAATCAGAACCACAATTCAACTGACACAGTTAAGCCTGTTGATATTCTTAGAAAGTAAGTGTCGGTAGACCCTACTACCTTAACTGATGAAAGTTCTTAACTCTAAGGGGCGGACAATGGTATCTTTCTACGCATATTTCCCTTTATTTATGAACAATTCCAATAGAGATTTCATTTAAAGGAAATTCAAGTTTCTTTTAGAAGAAATACTTGAATGATCACAACCCACCCAAGGAAATGATCACAACCTAAGGAAATTCTAATTTCTTTTACGAGAAATATTCATCTCACAATTTCGGTAAAACCGACACCTTTGAACAATGCGTGTATGATATCCGATACGTATTAGTGTTCGACACGACAAGACACCAAGACGTGTTTGGTGTCCGACACATGTTAGTGTCCAACACGACACCAACACATGTGATTGTGTTAAATTTATTAATTTTTGAAAATTATTATTGATGTCAACGTGTCAGTGTTCTTATCGGTACTTCAAAGATCACATCCCAAATAAAAACTATACACACAAAAATATATATTATTTGCTTAGTTTAAAAAATATCAATCATTTAATTTCTTTTCTTGTTTGTCCAATACAAGAACCGCAAGTGTTTCTATTCTTTCACTTGGATTATAAAGTCATTTTTAGGACACTGCTATGTTTATGAGTCAGAAGACACTTCATTACATTACAATTTACAAGTTTTTTCTTCCTGTTTTTTTGGAGCAACAGTGTCATCAGATATTATTTCAATATTTAGAAAGCATGACCTATATTACAAATACACACAATTGGACGTTAGTTAGGCTTGAGTTTGGGATTTCTAACTGAGGATACACATATTTCTTTAAGCCTGGTAGATTAATGAGCTTCTTACTAATTTTTTCCCTCTCTTAAATCCCAGAGAGTAGCAGCCAACAGTTTAAAACCCCCAATACTTCTGGGCAAAACACCTTCCAGTAGAAGGTAGTTCCAATCCAAGCTGGTTCTGTCAGGTACGAGTCTCCATGGCAGGCGCTATTCACAATTGCTTTGGCAGCTTCTGTGACTGATCTTATAGGCACAAACTATGTTGAACCTGTTGATCCCCAAAAATACTACAAAACTCATAAACACTAAAAAAAACTAAATATTTCCCTTGTGCAAAATAAAGCTAGCTTACATATCTCATTTCTTGGTCAAGAACCATTTCTGATTCTATCAACCCTTGTGTAACTATAGTTATTCCTATGTCCTTTCCCAGTTCAATTCTTCTCATACAAGATTATCACTACTGCTTTACTTGCCTGAAGATTTTGAAAGCTATAAATTAGCTACTGGTTATTGACACAAGAAAGATATACTGCATAGTAATGAAAGCTTATCTTAGCTTAGTGATAACGTTTTGTGTATTGCAATGTAGAAAATCATTTTTGGTGCAGGGAACCATCCAGATGAGAAAGCTATTGCTATGATCTTACCTTTGGATTTTCTGAGGTGGGGGATTGAAAAATATCTGCCATATGCATAACCCCAGAAGTTAATGTCCTGCTAAATTGTCTTTTTGAATATTAATTATAATTGTTATTCATAGAAACCCATTTGATTTGATTCAACCATGCAGTGAATGTTTTGATATAACAATTGTAGAAATGTCTAATTCAGTCTCAAACACTTAGCTCTACTACAATTTAAGAGATCACACAAAACAAACTTATATGTAGAGTTAATCACTAAAAACCTTATGTGAAAGGGTCCTTTGCTAGGCCAAGTCTCAGAATAAATTGTGCAAATCCAACTAAATAACAATTTAATCTGTCTTAATATTGCCTTTCTTACAAGAAGGGTTTGGGAAAAGTCCAAAGATGTGTTGTTGGACCCAGTCCACCAGCTCAGGATAAAACACCTTAAAAGGAAACAACACTTTGACCCATGAAGGATTTGTCACATACATATCTCCCCTGCATGCACCTTTCACTATGTCTTCGGCACATTCTATTGCTGACCCCAATGGAATTATTCTAAAACTAGGCTGCAATAATTCAAATGAATTAGAACACATAGTAGAGTAAAGTGCATTGGTTCCAAAGGAGGTGTAGTATTATGATAGACCAACCTCATCTTCATAAGCCTTAGATGCTAGTTTTGTTTTGACAAAACCTGGTGTGACGATTGTTATGCCAATAGACCAACCAAGTTCAATTCTTAGAGTCTCAAAGAAACTTATTACCGCCGCCTTACTAGCCTGATACCATTCAACAAATCACAATATGTACATGTGAGTTCAAGAGTAGACTCTTATTTATAACAATATGCAGTACGATAAAATAAAATTGATGTTTGAGTTTTACATTGTAGATACTTAATCTTGGAAGTGGGAACCATCCACAAGTCGAAGCAATCACTACGATCCTTCCTTTACTTTTTTTGAGATGTGGGATTGCATGTAAAGTCCCATGAACTGCTCCCCAGAAATTTATATCCTGTCAAATAAGCACAAGCTACACTTGAAACCAATTATTGATTCTTTGTTGTTCATGTATTTCAAAAAAATGACCTAATTAGTTTTCAAACACTTTGAAACAGAATCAATAGCTTACTATAGTTGAAGTGTATTTAGTAATATCAGAACAATCCTCTATCAACACTGGAATTCCGATTCCAGCATTATTTACTAGATGATCCACTGTATGAAACATTTTTTGTCAGATTTTGATCAAGGAGGTAATTAAAATCAGATTAAGTCTTTCATAATGTATTTTTAAGTAAAAATTAATTAAAAATTTAACTAGCAAATACGTTGTTCAAAGTGGTCCATTGTATCATCAACAAATTGTTTACTCTCTTGAACGTTGGAAACATCAGCGCCAATGATGATAACATCAGGGGAACCAAGAGATCTTGCCATTTCAGCCACTGCTACAAGATTCTCCTTTCTAATGTCAACAAGAGACAATCTTGCTCCTCGTCTAGCATATTCGTAAGCTATTCGCTTTTTAATCAAATAACAAGGTTTTATAAGCAACATTAAAAATATTTACATTCATAATGAAATTATATAGAATGAGTATATCATATGTACCTCCCCAATTCCTGAGGCTGCCCCTGTGATTAGTACTACTTTTCTTGCCATGTTTTCTTTGTACACCATTTTTTTTACATGAAGAAGCAATTTGAAGAAAAGATAAGGTATCATGGTGATAGGGAGTATAATCAATGACAATGGAGGCAATACTACATTGAGTATGTTGCAAATTGCACTCATTGTTTTGGAACTTTTGATATCACAACTTCCTGTGCTAGAGTAGAAGATGTGTCCACAAGTAGATATAGTGTGATTATATATGGGAATTTCTTAGTATAATTTTTAAACGAGTGAAAAATACTTCTGAAAATTTTAAAATACCTTTCGAATATGTATCTTTAAATAATTTTTTTTTTATGAAAAAAGTGTTATTGGATATACATATCCGAAATATTCTCTAATATATATTTTTTAGTAATTAAAAGGGGAATATTAATAATTAATATTTAATTTAATGTTGGATTTTTTGGGTTTTTGGCAAAAGTCTCCTAAAAAACTATTGGGAAAAAAAAATTCTGTTATTTATCATACATGAAAGGCCTTTAATTATTTTTTGAGGTGAGTTGGTACTTGGTACTACTGGGCCATCATATGGATGGTGGTTGAATATGATTTAGAGATTTTTTTAATGTACTTTATAATTTTCTTAGGTACTGTGTAAAATTTCAAAACTATTCATAAAAATTAGAAATGTATTTTTAATGCACACTGTAACACACATTTAATTCACTAATTTTTGACATTTATTTTAAATTATAATAAACATTTTTTCTGGAAATATACTTCTGAAATATTCCAAAAAATATATTTTCAATAACAGTCAAAACCAAAAAAACAAGTATTAGATTAGCACTTAGATGAGCCTTCTAAGGAGGGCAAAAGTAATTACCTTATGAAGTTACAGTGTTTATCACATAATGGCATAGCTTTACCTTTTAATTTGTCCCCGGTTAGCATAATCAAATGTCCTTAAAAATCAACAACACAAATGACTTTAGTGATACTAGCTTTGAAAATTTTGGCAAAAGTAAAACAAATATGTTGTTGAGGGCCAATCCAAGACATAATTATAATGCCTCATTATACTGCAATACACTTTTTTTTGGTTTCGACTGTTACCGGAAATATATTTTTGATTTTATAGCAAAAATATATTTTTGAAAAAAAATTAATGTGATATATGATAAATTTTAAAAACTAATAAATTTAATATTGTATAGTGTGTATATTAGAAATACTTTTTCAAGAAATATTTTTGATTTTTTATAGAGTATTTTTCCCTTATCTATATTGCAATAAGAAATCCTCTCATTTAAAGATATAATTATGACAAACCTCTTATGGAGGAGGGTAGTTGGATATGGTTGAAAGATATAATTATGGCAAACCTCTTATGGAGGGTGGTTGGATATGATTGAAAGATATAATTATGACAAACCTCTTATGGAGGGTGGTTGGATATGATTGAGAGATATAATTATGGCAAAACCTATTAGAGCAAAATGGATAGAAAATGTGATATATGATGTCTTCTCACACACAAAAACGTTATCATAATGTTGAAACGAGTTGTAAATTATACTTAATTCTATTGATAAATTTCTAATATAAATAATAACTAGGGTTGAGAATAAGGCAAGTCAATTAGAGAGATTTCGACTTAACTTACACATATTCAGGTTAGGTTAGATTAAATATTTTTTAAATTGAAAAAACTTAGGTTTTTTATAAGTCTATTTATCTAAATAGAAAAAGATTTATGTTTTTTATAAGCCTATTTATCTATATAACCTTTTATGTTTATCTATTTAAGTAAACACGAATAATTTAATTATTATTATATTATATTTTGTAATTTGAATTAAAATATGATAAAAAAGCTTAGTTGACTTGAAGAATTTATGAAAATAAATTAAAAAATCTAATGAGTAATATAATAAGTTGTTTTCACAAGTTTTTTTAAATAAATAATATTATAAAATTTATGTTAATAGGTAAGTCGAATGAGTCAATAAAAATAAATATTTAATTTCATTGATATTTTGATTTATTAATCTATTTAACATTATTTTAATTGCTATACAAATGTTCAAATAAAGTAAGCTTTTAAGTAGGATAGTAAGTTTGTCAGACTTTCGAAAATACTAGATTTAAGTCTAAAAATAAGCCTATGATAGGGTATAGTAGATCAAATTTAGGTTTTGAATTTTTTTAGCAGGTCAGACTCAGACTTGACAAAACCTAACTTGACCTAGCATATTCTCACCCCTAATAACAACTTTTAGTTACAACAAAACGAACACCAACACAGCTAAAACAACAACACAAACAACAAATAAAAACACTTATACTTCAAAATATCTAATAGCTTACAACAATCAAAACAATATTCATATGTTTTAGATATCATATCCCTAATATGATTGTCATTCATAACTGGCAACCAACGAAACTGGATGTTATTATTGTCATCCGCAATATATATGTACGAAACAAGTTTGTATATTTTTCTAACTCTTTCATCATATTTAATCTCTCAGAGTAATCAAAGGTTCAAGTTAGTCTCAAGTTATTTGAAATTCCATTTACGCCAAAAATAGATCTTCTTTAGAGGCTTGATTCTCGAATAAAACAAAAGTCCATAAATGCTCATGTTACATCAAATGAACAAAAATATTCATATGAAATTGATAAGAAGTGTGAGAAAATAATTCATATGACACCTCTATTTATACAAAATTTCATCAAAAGTACACTTGGATTCAATTGGTGCGTCCTATTAAAATATAATATAATATATTCTTGAGTTTGACTTATAGGTAATATCAAGTGGACAAGGCCCTAAGTCTCGATGGGCCTGAAGGTACGAGAAACTCAAGAACAAGGGTTTGGATTGAGTTTTCTAATTTAAAATTTTTTGCTACCCAAACAAACAAGGATGAAACAAGAACAAAAATAAATGAACATAATTATTTTTATTTTGGTTCAATGTTAACGAAGTTAATCCAGTCCACCCACCAAGGTGATTCGCCTTTCTCAACAAGAACTTAATCCATTATAACTGAACTGATTAGAGACACAAACAAAGACTACCCGTCATTATCTTCTTGAGGAATTCTGACTATACCTAGTCTCTCAAGGAACAATAAACTCCAAGGTTGAAATACAAAGTGCGTTTACAAGGATGCTTCTTAGAAAGCATATTATGCAAGTTAAAATACAAAGAAATACCATAACAATGTTAATAGCAAGTTGAATGAACAAAAATTCCTTGCTTGCAAGTTAATGAACAAAAGTTCTTTGCTTTTACAAAACTTTACACAAGATATTTCAATAGAAAGTTGAGCAACGCTTCAACAAATTATTTTGCGTAAAAGTTCTAAATTTCCAATTCTTCCAAGTCTTACTTCTATAACCAAAATGAAATTTATTGGAGGGTAGAATAGGAATGCTGAATTTCAATTGTCTTCTTGTGTAACGGTCAATGAGAGTGGTAGACAACATCATACCACAGTATAATCCTTGTGCCAAAAAATCAGAGTAGTGAAAACATTTGATCTTGTACCATATACTATTCTCTCACGTAAAACCTTTTGATCTTATCTTCTAATCTTCAGAAGCTTCATAATGAGTGTTGAAGAAGCATGCTTAGAAGGAACAAAAACATCAAAAAGAACTTTCAGATCCTATGCCTTCAAAGTCTTCAGAACTTGTTCTTTCCAGAATATTGTCTTCAGAACCCCGGTCTTCAAAATCTCAAAATTTGGAAGCGCAAAATCTTCAGAGCTTGAGAAGTCTTCAAAAGCTCTTCAATTAGAGTCACAACATATAAGTTTTAGACTAATGTTCAATAGAATTATTGTCTAGAGACATTCCAGAACTTGACTGGATCTTAGTATCACATACTAAAAACTTTCTAGAGTTAGAGTGTGTTGATTCAGAAACTGATGAACTCACACATTCTTCTATTAGAGTCAGAACCTGTTAGCAAGCCACACACTAGACTAAACTGTTAGGGTACAAAATTATTCTTTAAGAAATAATGTATTGTTAGCATCGAAACTAAAAGCCAGACACATGACAAAATCTTGTTCTTACAGGGAATTACCCTTGCGTTTGGCCCAATTTTTTGTTAGGGGTATTATTGTAATCTGGACCATTAGTAGTGTATATATATATATATATATATATATATATATATATATATATATATATATATATATATATATATATATATATATATATATATATATATATATATATATATATATATATATATATATATATATATATATATATATATATATATATATAAACACACACACACACACTAGTAACACTGAAACCCTAATGTGTAATTCAAAATAAATCAATAAGAAAAAATTATAACTGCTCTATAGTTGAAAATGTAAGCAATTTGGCTGAATTACATGAACAAAGCTTTCATGCGTTTCTCGCTACTCTGATCTATAATTACGTACCTATTCTAACAATTGATATCAGATGACGCTTATTCTTGGAGGCACGAAATTCAAAGTGACTTGGTTCGAAGGAACGAGTAATCTCGGTTTATGGGAAAAAAGGGTTAAAGATATATTGGCTCTGCAAGATTTATAGAAGGTACTTCATGATGAGAAACCAACATACATCATAACCATTGATTGGAGCGAGATGAAGGAGAAGACCACAGGTTTGATAAGACTTTGTGTTTGTGATGACGTAATGAATCATATCTTGGACCTCACAACTCCGAAGGATGTCTGAAATATATTATAAAAATAATACATGTCCAAGATGCTCATGAACAAATTGTTCTCGAAACAACGTCTCTGTAGTCTGAAGATACAAGAAGGAGGCAATTTACATGCTCATGTCAATGCTCTCAATAACATCCTCGTTGATTTGATATTGCTTGGTGTGAAGGTTGACGATGAGGATAAATCCATTACTTTGTTGTGCTACGAAGCTCCTATGATCAGTAGGTGACCACTCTCACATACAGAAAGGAAACAATCATGTTGGAGTCTATTTCTTCTACCCCTTTGCAACATGCACAATGTCACTAAAGTTTATAAGAAGGTGAAGGAAATTCAGGTGAAGGTTTGTTTGTGAAAGAAGGTCAAGGTCGTGGCAGAGGTAAGGGTAAGGTAGTGGATTCTGGAAAGAAACAGAGGTTCAAG